CGGGTTGAAAGCTAGCCAAGCTCTGCAGCGCCCGACCCGGGCGTGTACGCCGCCGCCAGTCCCCGCAGAGAAATCGTCCTCCTACCCCCGCCTCCATCGCTCTGCGTTTCTCTTCCAATCAGCCGGTCGCTTGGCGGCTCCTCCAGTCTCCGGCCAAGCCAGCTGCCTAGAGCGAGCTCGGCTCCATCTGCTCGCCCGACTCCTCGCTCCCCTGCCGGGGCGGGCGAGGCAGCTTGAAGCCGGAGGGGGATCTGTGAGGGATCCTGCCTGCTCTTGCTCCCATTGCTCCATCCCCGCTGTCTCCTGCCTCCTCCTCCTCTCCTGCGTTTTTCCAACTCTCCCCTGTCGCCACTGGTGTGTGTCTGAGTGTGTGCGCAGGTTTTTTTTTTTTTTTTTTTTTTTTTTTTTCTTTTTTTTGCAACCCTGAAGCTAAAGCGGGGTGGGGGGAAGGGGGTGTTACAAAAACGAATAAAAAATAGAGGCTCCTAGGTTTGCAACACATCAAAATACCGGGGAAGCACCCCGCCTCGTTCGGTCGCGATGCCCCGCGAGGGCCTTCCGGGTTCCAGAGCGAGTCTTTCGTTGTTCTCGATGCTCCCCCCGCCCCCCATCTTCAGTGGCCTTAGGATCCAAGGAGTTAGACCGAAAAGTTCTCCCCTGGGTCGTAGTGGAGTGTCAGTGGGAGTTGGGGAGATTTTTCAAGATGCATCGGAGCAGCCAATCCCTTCTACCCGGGCTTCCGTAACTAGGCCGCGGCCGGGGTGGGGGTTTAGAGCAAAATCCCGGCGCGTTTGTGCGAAGGAGCTTGAAAGGGGGAAGTGAGGACCGGGAACGGAGCTTCGTGCATCTCCCCTTGGTCTCTGCCTCCAGTCGCCTGCTAGCTCCCCCTTTAATTTTTTTTTTTCCTTCTCTCCTTTAATCTAATTTCTTCCAACTCCACCTTTGTTGTTACCGGCGTCACGCCTGGATCAGCCAATCCCCGTCTCGCAATCAGCTTGTCAAAAAGGCTCGGCCAGCCCTGAGAAAGCAGGCCGCGGGCTCTGCCCCCACCACGGCGACGGCGGCGGTGGGGAACCGGGAGGAGGGCCCGGCACCCCAGTCCTAAGGCAGGAACTGCAGCCTGGCCACCGGCGTTCGAACTTCCCGCATTCCACCATCCAGCGAGTCTGGAGAGGAAAGGCGTGTACTTTCTGGTCTCCTGCAGCCATCGACTATAGTGGGCTTTGCCTCCCCTGCTCAGCGGAAGGGATATCAGGATTAGACGGAGGGAGGCAGAAGGCAATGCGAAGGCCAACCCACACATGGTTTGTGCCATCGCTCCCCCGGCAACGCCATTGCTCCTGGCTCCTCGGCTGCCACAATAACACTGCCGTTGCTCACATCTCAGCCAGCTGGGTCACACTGTCTCTTTGGACTATTCCTTGGCACACTGCCTTCTTCCTCACAGTTTCGCTGCTGGTGTAATTCCTCTTGTCTCCTGGGGAGAATGAGACTCTTTTTCCCAGGACTTCCACTTCCCGCTTTTGCCACGTTGCATCAACCGGGATCTGATGTGTCCAGCTTATGCAGCGTGCAAGAGAGACAGATTGATCATGATAATTAATGAAGTTTAGGCTTTAAGGTTCCTTGCTGAGAAGGCCTACCACCGGTCTGTTCTCAAATTATTTAATATTGTTTTGTTTTGTTTTTTCGAGACAGGGTTTCTCTGTGTAGCTTTGGAGCCTATCCTGGTACTCGCTCTGGAGACCAGGTTGTCCTCGAACTCACAGAGATCTGCCTGCCTCTGCCTCCCGAGTGCGGCGTGCGCCACCAACGCCCAACCCATATTTTGTTTTTTAATGAAAAGAGTCTTCCAAGTTGTACGTTTTAGAACCCAACCAGCCCAGATCTGCCTCTGGAATATGCAGTAGGTATTTTGTATGGAATCAAGCCATCTCCTGACACACACACACACACACACACACACACACACACACACACACAAAGGCTTGGAATGTACTTATCTACTTTGATAAGGGTAGAATAAAAGGTTTGAATCTAAAGGGCCCAGGTGTCAGCCTTGATGGCCCATGCCTTTAATCTCAGCACTTAAGTTAGGTGGATCTCTTGAGTTTAAGGTCAGCCTGGTCTATATAGGGCGTTGAAGGCAAAGCCAGAGTTACCCATTTCCTTTTCCCACCCTACCTTTTGTTTTGGTTTTGATATTTTTTTTGGGGGGTGGGGCGGTGTAGCCCTGGCTGTCCTGGAACTCTGTAGGCTCGAATTTACAAGTCCTTCTGCCTCTGCCTCCCGAGTGCTTGGATTAAAGTCCTGTGCCACCACTGCCTGGCCTACCCCACCTTAATACTGTGTGTGTGAGTTTGGACAAATTCTGCCCTAACCAGATGCCATCTCCATAGCTATATACTTAGAATAAGAATCCGATTCCTCATCAGGGATTGGAGGGCTAAGTGAGATGATGTAAGTAAGTAAAACTATATATTTCTCCATATATGGTACCGCCCACAACTAAAATCAGAGAAACACATCCCAATAAAGTCCAAAAGTTAC